TAATTATTATTAGTTCCATATTTCTTTCCATCGGAGACTCAAAATCTACCCTCTCTAAAATACATAACTGACATTTTCAACGCACTGACTTTAGTTAGCAAACAAGTGAAAAACTGCAGAGACTAGTGGACAATTGTTTCGTCCTTACTTTGGGAATACTCAGCAATACACACCCATGACCCCCATCGATGTTGGAACCTAGGATCTTAAGGTTAATAGGTCAGCCTTTTTTCCCAGAGGGGGGTTCTCTAAATGAAGTTGGTTTCGTGATCCAGCCTGAAATCAATCAAATCCTTGCAAACCGACACTTGAAGTAAAGTCGGGTGTAAGGAGAAATACTCATCGATGATGACATTGGCTACCAGTTGTACCATATACCGCAAATTGACAGAAGCTAGAATTTATGGCCCATTGGATTCTTCTCCAGTGGTTGAATGTTCAACAGGTTTACTTCGCAACCTAAAGATCCTGGATTCAATCCTGTGGATGGGGTCATGGATGCGTAGTGCTGAAGGGTCCCAAAGAAGGACCAAACAGATGTACAGTACCTCCTGGTATTCAGTGTTTCTCTAACAAAAATGTCAATCCATGATCAAGCTTGAAACATATCAAGTCCCTACAAACTAACTAATTCTGAGTCAAGTCAGTTTGTGAATAATATTTTTTTCTCCTTACTTAGATCAGTTGCAGCGATTATATGGCATATACACCCGGTTTGAAGCAGCACCATCTGCTCCCCTGGTTTCTTTTTGGTGATTCTCTTGACTGATGTGTCAGTTAGTTATCGAAACCTTATAACTGGACTTTTACTAAAGAAGTGAATACCCCTGATTCGAATCCCTTTCCGAATTAGACACGATAACTCATAGCCTGTCTCCTACATGAAGAAAATCTGTTCTATGCTTAACTGAGTTTTAAGCAAGCTAGCAAGCAAGTTTAACTTTCACCAAACCTCTACCGAGTAATCAACTTGCTTGCATCTTCAGTTATCATGGTAACTGTCCCATGACATCTTTCATTGTGATGTAATATGATATATGGTAACAGCAAAAATTTCGATTTTATTTCATGTTGACTTTTATATCATTATCATTATTTAAAACCGAAAACTCTACAATGCGATTAGAGAATCTTTTGGTTTGGCTTGTTTTCTAATGTGTGCGTACGTATGTGTGTGTGTGCGCTTGTGCACTGGTAAACTCATAAGGTTCTTCATTTCTGCTGTCTGTATAAATTGACTAACTGAAAACTCAGTTGATGTCTGTAAATGACTTGTAAAACGTTAAACTGACACAATAAGCAAAAGTACGTGAGATCACATGATATATACTACTATATATATATATATATATATATATGCAGTGTTGTTATGTGGTTGAAAATATTTCTCTTTATTCACATTCAATACTACGTAAATGTGTTGCCCTTACGTTGACTTCTTCGTTTACTTTTTATCAATATCTTTACTGACGGAGAGTGGAATTCACAACTTTGCCAAATAAATGCACACACACATACACATAGAGTTTTAAAGGTTATTGGTGCATCCATTGCTCTTTGCATCTCTATTCTTTCACTTTGACCAATGTATTCCCAGTCCGTCCACACAGATATCTAGAATTCATATGGTTTGGGTTAATCCAACTCCCTGAGCTGAGCTGAGTTGCAGTGAGTGTGATGAACTTGGCCCCTAACGAGGGATCGGTTTTTAGATCACTTCGATCTGGTTGACAAGCGCTACCGGTTGATGTGAATGCTTTCCAATTGCTCACACCAATCAACCAGTGGTATATATAACACCATAACTCTTCCAATACAAATGATGAGTAGTAGTATAGTGAGTGTTTACATAGTACCATCGAGGTTGTTCCATGAATTGCCTTACAAACCTTTAATCACTTATGACACCTAGAAGCTAGGCTTCACCAAATCAAGTGGAGTGGTAGCTGGTTAAGCATGCGTACTCAACTCTTTTAATCGATGCTTTATGGATTCGAACCCTAATCACTGGTAAAGTGGCTTACTATATTGTGGAAAAGTGCCCCATTGGCTTAAGCAGTCGGCTTGCAGCCACTTGGTCCCGGGCTTGAGTCCCACTTCACCTACTTCAGCCTGGTTGGGTACAATTGGGTGATACCATCACCTCTCATACAATAAAATATAGTTCGTAGCTCAGTACGGGGTAACTGCGTTTTGAGTTCGTAGTCAGTTGATTATAGGTACTCATACAGTGGGTCTAAATGAGTTAAATGTCGGTCTAATAGACTTTTCCTCTCATGTCTTGATTGTTTGCAGTACGTTATTATTGATTCCGAGTTACATTCACGTAAAACCGTTAACGATAGGAAGCTTATTTTGTCCATATAGTAGTCCCAACCACAGCTTTCCAACCCACAGCTTCCTCTGCACAACTCAAACTGACAATCTTTGTGTTTAAAGTAATATAGAGAATGTTTGCAGCTCAGGTAAATGTTTTTTTTTTGGAGCATTTGACCAGATCAACCAAATGACCAACACCAGTGTAGAACATATGAATGCTTGTCTTGCTTTCCCAATCCTGACCAGTTTTGATAAACCCATCCGTTTTGCCTTCCCGTAGCTGAAACGAGCAGAGATAACTCACTTAGGATTAGGTTGGTTGGAAAAGACTTAAGTCTGGTCATATTGAGAAAGCATGACATGAATCCATAAAGTCTTTGACTGTATGTAGGTTTGATTCACGTTGGTGAAGGGGGAGGGAGGGGTGTAGACTACATCATAGCTGGGATCCTCAATCAATGGCTGGAGATTGTTGATAACAGCCATCAAAGTCGATGTCAGTGGTCAAGAAGTGTGATCATTCCTTGTGATCTGTCTGATCTATCAAATGTTCATTATTTTCCGTTTATTAATTATTCTTTCCCTTATACACTTCTATTTGTTATATCTCCAAGTTTTATGTGCGCTTTAATGAAATGTCGGCACCTAAACTAAATTGTTGCACGTTTGTGTAAAGTTCTTTCTGCGTTGCGTTGTAATCTCAGTTCAATTCATTCACCACGTAGCTTCGTTTACCTTACTGCATATAAGTATAAAACTTGGGCACTGTGGTGGTAGAGTATAACTCGATTATAGATAAGATTTTATTTTGATAAGTCACACAGTGTTACACAGTAATATTAACTGATGACCACGTTTCGAGCACAAACTATTGCTCATAATCATATCAAGCTACTCACACAACTTTTTTTCCTTCATTTATATACATGTGTAGAATTGACCAGATATTTGAATAGAAATCAGTATGTGATAATGTACATTCAGAAATAATAATACGAGTGTTATTGATCAATTACAGACGAGTGTTTTTATAGTCAAAATAAGTAACTTGTTAGAATGTTGTGATGTGCTTGAATTGAAATATAATTTTGAGATTATTTATTATCCTCTGGCGGTAATAATATCTTAAGATTCTAAGAAGTAATCTATGTAGGCGGAGAGAGAGATTGATTACTGAATACTGCCTGGTTCATTTAGTCTACACTCAACACATGCAACAGAAATGACTCAATGCAAATACCAGAAATATGGAAGATAATATTACCGCCAGTCAAATCAGAAGAGGATAATAAATAATCTCAAAATTATATTTCAATTCAAGCACATCACAACATTCTAACAAGTTACTTATTTTGACTATAAAAACACTCGTCTGTAATTGATCAATAACACTCGTATTATTATTTCTGAATGTACATTATCACATACTGATTTCTATTCAAATATCTGGTCAATTCTACACATGTATATAAATGAAGGAAAAAAAGTTGTGTGAGTAGCTTGATATGATTATGAGCAATAGTTTGTGCTCGAAACGTGGTCATCAGTTAATATTACTGTGTAACACTGTGTGACTTATCAAAATAAAAACTTATCTATAATGGAGTTATACCTTACTGCATTATTGATATCTTTTTCAACCTTTGTTTATCAATTCACCTATATATATACCTCATATTTGTTCCTTTTGAATTAGTTTCTAAAAGATGAATCATGTTCATTCACATGTAAGTTGACTGAGAGTCGGGAAGCTTTCTCTTGAGTGAAAATGAGGTTATCCCAGTATATTTTTGTCGGTGATTTCTATACATACCAAGATGATTCTCTCTTCGTAAAGCTGATTATTATTATTCCCTTCGTTTTCGAGTCTAACGTAGAACTTCAGCAGTACATCTCCATTTCATCCCGTTCTCTGCAGTCATCTTTGGCTAGCTTCACGACTCTCCATAAGCTTTCACCTCCTCCCCACACAATCTCCTCTGTGCTGCGCTTGGACTCACACCCAACCCATCGTTTCGCATTCAGATCCCTCTTGAGAGTCAGCCTGGTGCGTGACGTTATTCAGCGACCTTCTCAGCATGTGTCTGATCTATCTTTACATTTTTTTCTGCATATATTTGCTGAGCGAGAGATTGTTTTTTTGGTTCTCCACCTGCTTATACATTCCGTACGGCCATCTTGTCTTCAGTGTCATCGATTGGAGACAGCTGCTGATGGAAGTCTGCAGTAACCTGTTAGAAACGCTTTTTGTGATACGAGCGCTAAGTCTGTGAACCATGTAGAAGCATTGTTTGACTTCACATTAGTATTGAATATCCGGATCGCGTGTTTTATGCTGAGTACAGCAGATTCCCACACTGATTGCAGAGATCGGTGGAAGCCTGTCTTGTCTTTCTTATCGTGGTTATGATACACTGTCATCGGTTCCGCCTGTAGTTGAAACGGTGCTGCTTAAATAAGTGTGAAAGAGGTGACTTCAGAATCAGGTTTTTCTGTACTCACCCAACAGAGAAGTATTATTTCATACATCTTATTTGCTGAACTGTTCTTTTTTGTTGTAATCTGCTGCAGATGTCATTTGTGTGTGTGTGTGTGTCTCAAATTGAGTGTTTTCAGTCTTCCTGTTTGTGACGCAGTAAAAGCCGGTTTTTATCTACCCAGAAGTGTTTATTTATTTTCAGGTAAAGGATGCAATCGATCTATTTACACTTCGACGCCATGCTGTAAAAATTATCAGTAAATTAGGCGTTCGAAAAATTCCCGGTGGTTGGAATCAAGCTTTACATGAAGTTAGCCTAATGAGAAGATTATCAGCCTGTCGACATGTTGTCTCCCTAGTCACTGTGTTACGTTTACAAAATCCAGATCGGTTATGCCTAGTTATGGAGCATTGTTTAGGCTCAGTGCATGATTTACAAGCTGCCGGAGTACCATCGAATACACTTGTAAGCTCAGAGAATGAATTCGAGTCGAATGAAACATCAGGGAAACATGAAACACTCAAAGATGACGGTTTACACGACGAAGACACTACAAAGAAATCCTCTGTATTAAAGTTAAACAAAATTCGTCGATTTCATACAAGGCTGCCTATGATTTCAACACAAATCCACCAAGAATTAGACTCGAAAATTTCCAAGCTGAAAAATCGTAAAGTATCCAGTGTAGAACATTCAACACGTCGCACTGTAAAGAACTCCTCACAACAAACACAACAACAGCAGCAACAACAACAATTTCGTCGACTTCCTGAATCTCAAGCACATGCCTACTTTTTACAGGTATTTTAATTGTTTCATTCATTCCTTTTTGCATTTTGAGCGTGAACCATAGTGCTTGAGGCTTTGAAGTTCCAGTAACTATGATGTTTTCATTGGATGAGATTGCTAACCTCACACTTTAGCCTTCTCTTATTTCTGCACCTAATATCGTCAAAGCAAGGAATCGTAACCCGGACCACGTGTGGAGTGGTTGGCGAGTATCTTATCAAATTGAACCACCCACATATAAAAACACTCCCGCATCGGGAGTCGAATCCAGACCGCCTGAATGAAAGCCAGGAATCCTTACCGCTAGACCACGCGGGAGACGGCTTAAACAGGTATGGTTTCCTCTGTGTTTTTGTAGCCACAACGTCATCGTATGTAACGCTGAAATTTCTTGTCGACATTTATGATGATTAATTATATACTCCTTGATATCATTATATATGTTGGATACTGAAATTCTCTTAGGGGTAAACCTTCTAGGTCTCGTATGAGAGTTGGGGCCTATCAGCAGAATCAGCATATTCTTTGATATGATATGGGATATGACTGCGGGATTGCATATTTTCTCAACTAAAGGTTGGAACTCAGTTACTCACTTTTCAAATCCAATAGCTGACTGATAATAAAATCATTCAACCCTCAACTTATCTCTCTGTAGACATCATGCTAAATATCGTTCACAATGAGGCAGATGTATTCACTCTCTTTCGTTGTTAAGATTCCTTCATTGGGAAATCTTTTTGCTTCAGAACTTATATTTGTGTCGAATGATAGCTGCGCATCATCCGATGCCAAAGTCATTGAGTATACACACAAACACCACCAAGGTATTCTGTTCTCAACTGATTAACACTGTACTTGCATTTGGCGGTGAGCCATATCTATTTTGTGTGTGAGGGCTAGTAATACAATGTGACTATCCAGATATCGGTAGACGGCGCTGAGTTCGAACCTATGATCCACTCACTGTTTAGAAGCCGACCGCCTAAACTACTACTAAGTCATTCCCTTCCATCTGATACGTAGTGTCTGATGCTATCCTGTTTATGAATTAGCTGGCTAATGTTGACATATATATTTATATATATATATATATATATATAAAGAAAACTATAAAACTCAAGTTTCGAAGTTGTGTGATTATAATTGATACGATTACGAACATTAGATAATTTGTTCGAAACGTCATCCAGTAAGTAATACTGTTTCACTGTGTGATATATTTAATAAACAAATTAATGTGGAATTACATACTACCACAGAGTTCCCAAGTGTCACACATATATTATGCGTCACTGAAGCTTCAGAGCTTAGACTTTGAAGCCGTATATTCCACTCGGAACGCACAAAAAGGAAAAAAGACGTCTCTAACCTAAATACTAGGTGACAGGAGGTTTTATTCTGTCGAATAGGGGGGAGGGGTAGCTGGAATTAATTCCCTGAAGGTTGCTTCCCTTCCGATTGTCTCCAATCCTTTTTTTCTTCTTCATTAAACGATCTAACAATTATGTCGTTTCTCTTTTTCTTCCAATTTACTTATAGCTGATTGATGGGTTACATTTCCTACATCGTAATGGCGTCATACATCGTGATATAAAACCAGCGAATCTTTTGTTAACTCCAGCGCCTGGTTGTGGCTTAAGTGAATTTGGCAGCCCAAATGGTACAGTCGATTTACCCGATCATAATTGGTTATGCGGTACTGGTGGACAGTCGTCATTTTGTGGTCGTTCACTAGCTGATCTGTTGGCTGCATCACGTGGTTGGCTGGTGAAATTAGCTGATTTCGGTGTATCTGCATCAGTGTCAGCTTTCAATTCAAATGATATGGTAATGCGTTCGTTGTCTTGTTCTGCCATTTGTTTTTCTCTGCTCGTTGTTTTTGCTTGCCCTAGGCAAATTATCATGTCTCATAGGATGCGAACACACGAGTGACCTTGAGCTGACAAATCATAAAAACAAGTAATTTTTTACAAGAAAATGCATGAAGACATTAAATAGGGTGGCTGTCTTTCTCTGACATGACTTAAAAATATCCCAGTTATAATGGCGGGTATCAGTGTTTAAGTTAGACCAGTTTCTGTACTTGTATTTCCTGAGGTGACTGAAGATGATCTTTTTCTGTGACCTATCTATCGCCCTTATCCTGTCTTGCAGTCTTCTCCAAAAGCCGTCGATTGAATCCCTATGGTTTCCAGTAAGAGGATCGACGACTACTTACTAAGAAATGTGGATAATAATAAAACTGCAACTGTCAGAGCAAAGCAGGAAACACTACGTGACATCACTGAAGAATCATGCGTGGAAGACCATTGGAACTCTCTGAAGGTGATTTTCAAGGAAACGTGTTCAACGGTTTTAGGGAGAAAGAAGAGACTAGATAAGGAATGGCTCTCAACGGACACTTGGAAGCTAATAGAGGAGAGGAGAATAGTGAGAGAGAAAATGATTCAATGCAAAGACGGACAAGAGAAAGAGACGCTGAGATCAATTGACACAGCACTGGACAAAGAAGTGAAGAAGAGTGCCAGGAAAGACAAAAGACAATTCTACGACAACCTGGCCACTGAAGCTGAGAAGGCAGCAGGCCAAAAGGACCTGAGGACCCTATATCAGATAACCAAGTCTCTATCCGGGAAGAGATCAACACAAGTGAAACCTATCAAAGACAACCAAGGGAACCCAATTACCAAAGAAGAAAGACAGATTAAACAATGGGCGGACCACTTCAAAGGACTCTTGAACCGACCACCACCTACAACCCGTCCAGAAATACCAACAACAGCACGTACACAACTGCAAGTTGACACCAATCCTCCAACGAAAACTGAAGTCACGAATGCAATCAAGCTTCTGAAAGCTGGAAAAGCAGCTGGACCAGATGGAATACCCCCGGAAGCACTGAAAGCGGACCCAGAAACGACAGCAGAAATGCTGATTCCATTATTGCAAAAGATCTGGAAAGAGGGAAAAGTGCCTACTGACTGGAGGAAAGGTTACCTGGTGAAACTACCAAAGAAGGGCGACCTGGGACTCTGCAAGAACTGGCGAGGAATCATGCTCCTGTCGACGCCAAGTAAAATCCTGAGTCGCATCATCCTGGAGAGAATAAAGGACGCACTGGATACAGAACTCCGACCAGAACAAACTGGATTCAGGAACGGCAAATCATGTTCTGACCAAATTGCAACTCTACGAATCATCATCGAACAAAGCATAGAATGACAATCAAACCTCTACCTCAACTTTATAGACTTTGAGAAGGCCTTCGACAGCGTTGACCACGAAGTAATTTGGAAACTACTCGAGTACTACGGCGTACCCCAAATATTCATCAACCTTATTCAACAGCTGTATGACAACGGCACGTGTCAAGTGATCCACAACGGAAAACTCAGCGAGGCGTTTGGAGTAAACACAGGAGTCAGACAAGGATGCCTATTATCACCAATGATATTCCTAATTGTGGTGGACTGGATTATACGTCGGACAGTGGGACCGACGTGAAGAATCTAGAAGACCTGAATTTCGCGTGTGGATGATTTATGTTTGTCACAAAAAATCGAAGACTTACAAGCGAAAACCGACAAACTGGTTGAAGAAGCAGCCAGTGAAAACAGGACTCCAGGTGAACATAGACAAGACGGAGGTTATGAAAATAACCAACCAACAACAACAACAGCAGCAGCAACATCCAGCGCCAATCACCATCAACCGGAGGGATTTGAAAGAGGTTACTTCATTCACTTATCTAGGGAGCATTGTCTCAACTACAGGAGGAACGGACGAGGATGTCAAATCGACAATCGGGAAGGCGAGAAACACATTCATCAACCTGAAACCAATCTGGAAATCTTCGTCACTCAGCATGAACGACAAAATATGGATTTTCAATACAAACGTCAAGTCAGTCAGTTCTTCTATACGGATCAGAAACTTGGCGGGTCACAAAGAATATTTCCAACAGGTTGCAGACCTGTGTAGAGGAGCTGAAACAGTATGGACTAACATGGATGCAGGTGAAAAGTACAGCAGAAGACAGAAACAAGGGGAGACGTGCAGGTGAAGCCCTTTGTTCCAGTAGGAACCCAAGGGAACAATGATAAATGATAATAATAAAACAAAGTGAAACAAATAATACCAACTCCAAACCTATCCCTTATCATAACGTTAACCCTGACCCTAGTTATAACCCTAACGAGCTATTAACACATTGTCCAAACAGTACTTAAACCTTATCTAGGTGAAATTAGCTCCTTAATTGGTGAATAGCGTTCACGATATCTCTATAATAATGACAGGTCTATTATTATCCAACGAAAATCATTTCTTCAAGGTCATTTTAGCGTGATACTTTAACTTCACCCTTTTTCCTAAATACCTTATTTTACAAAATAATTTTATTATCACTACTATCATGCTAATCATTGCGTCTGCAGAGTGCTCGTCAGAGCTCGATTCTTGACTAACACTCCTCCTAAACGGGTAAATTGGGAAGATTAGATGTGTCAGACTAGCAACCCGCTTCCCTGTAAAAACACCACAGCTAGTGAAACTCTGGAAGGCCACGCTTCAAGCTCTTATGTTCCACTCTCAGAGCACCAGGAATAATAAAAGTCGAGTATTATTCGGTACCACAGTAATTGATTACTCCCATAGATTTCCTTGTGATTTTATCCACTTGTATTGTTATTGACCCTCGCACTGACGACTTGACATTCATTCTTTTTGTGTTTGTGTGACCTATTTTTTATTGATTGATGAATTCAATCTATGCCCGCATGTCTATCTATATCTATTAATTGCAAGCTGATTTGTATACCAGGACATTACGAATTTTCGGCTTTCATTGTGTGTTGCCTCTAAGATTTTTTACACTGTCCCAATCGATTTGATGTCTGTAGTTATCGAGGTGAATTTGCATGAATGAATGCATGTCAATAAAAATATATAGGTCACACATTAAGTGAGTGAGAGAATCAATAACAAACACTGGCTATCTAGATCGAAACGATCTAATCATCACCGGACGGCGGAGATCATCTCTGGTGTATACAGGTAGAATCAGCTCAGACGAGCGAAACAGCTGTCCACTATTTTGATCACTTTGATTAGAGATAACAAGCCCTAATTATTTATGTGAGGAGTGTCCAACTACTTATAATATGAATCAACCAAGTAGTATATATATTTTTTCCTTTACATTCCCAGTGGAACATAAGGCTTCAAGCAAGAGGCTTGAAGTTCCGGTAGCAGTGACGCTTATTTTTACGGGATGGGATTGCTAGCCTAATGCCCAATCATCCCTCTTTACCAGTCTTATTACTGGCTTGGCGAGGTAAAGGAGTGTGTCGGTGACCGGGAATCGAATCCCGGAGGACACGCGTGGTTGGCGATCACCCTACCTCTGTGCCACCGACGTAGGTCATATATTGTTTTTGGTGATCAGAATAATTTTGGTTTCCAAAGAAAACTGAGTAAACTACAAATTCACGGACCGCTTGATTGGGTCCCAGTGGCTTAATGGTCTATGAGCTCGCTAGCCTTGTAACCAGAAGCTCCTGGGTTCGAACCTCCTGTGGTGGGCGCGTGCTGATGAAGAGTCCCGAACTGGGGCGAAACAGCTGTACAGTGCTCCCAGGTTTTCCAATGGTTCTCTAACCAATGTCAGCTCATTATGTGAATTCCTGTAACCAATCAAACAAAATCCCTACAAACCAATACTTGTAAATTACAAATCACAAATTAACTTGCAAAACTTCTCGATTTTCATTGGTTATTTTCAATCAATGTCTGGGTTCTGGTTGCAAGTACCAAGAAGTATATTAAGGTTAAACATCGTTCTACTGCAATTTTCAAGAGCACAAGTATTGAAGAAGACATTCTTCTAAGAAAACCGGTGGAAATTGGCAATCATAAGTGTAAATAAATCGCTCAAAAGACAACTACAACTACATACGTGAAATCAGCGGGAAAAGATGCGACTAGGTCGCATAACATGTGACTTATGAAAATATCATTGTCTCTTAACCAGTTCTCATTTTTTTCCTTTTTATCAGTAAAAGACCAAATTATCACCTCTGTTTTTGCATTCAGCCCGAAAAATCGGCATATCACATTAAATGGACGAATGGATGTATATAAACCAAATCAAGACTAGATATTTTATTAGCTGCTTCAGGACAGTCGGCACTTGACCCTCAATCTAGGCGTAATTCTTGTTGATACACGTTGACAAGGCATACCTCTTCAATCCTCTCCGGAAGTTGAACTCGGACCACCTGATAACAACACAATCAGAGACGTTATCATCACTGTCTTACTCAAACTGTCATGTGTGTACCCACAATTAATTATCTCATTAGTGTGGTCAGTCAGATATGTCTGTCGCCAGACAGAAACAAATCGCATGTCACACATATTATGTGGGAGTCAACCAACCAAAATCCAACATGCAGATAATGCCTACTATTCACCCTTGCCATATATATATATTTGCTTCGTTGGTCAATTTTTTCTCTAACGGAAAACTCAGCGAGGCGTTTGGAGTATACACAGGAATCAGACAAGGTTGCTTATTATCACCAATGATATTCCTAATTATCGTGGACTGGATTATGCATCAGACAGTGGGAAATGAGAAGACAGGGATATCCTGGACCGACGTGAAGAATCTAGAAGACCTGGATTTCGCGCGTGGATGATTTATGTTTGATGTCACACAAAATTGAGGAATTACAAGCGAAAACCGACAAACTGGTCGAAGAAGCAGCCAGAGAAGACAGGACTCCAGGTGAACATAGACAAGACGGAGGTTATGAAAATTGCGAACCAACAACAACAACAACAACAGTAGCAACATCCAGCGACAATCACCATCAACGGGAGGGATTTGAAAGAGGTTACTTCTTTCACTTATCTAGGGAGCATTGTCTCAACTACGGGAGGAACGGACGAAGTGTCAAATCGAGAATCGGGAAGGCGAGAAACACATTCATCAACCTGAAACCAATCTGGAAATCTTCGTCACTCAACATCAACAACAAAATTTGGATTTTCAATACAAACGTCAAGTCAGTCAGTTCTTCTATACGGATCAGAAACGTGACGGGTCACAAAGAATATTTCCAACAGCCTGTTGCAGATCTTTATCAACAACTGTCTTCGTTCTATACTGAAGATCAGATGGCCGGAAAGAATCACGAACAAGAAACTATGGAAACAAGCAAAACAAGAACCAATCGCTGAAGAAATATGCAGGAGAAAGTGGAGATGGATTGGACCCCCCAAGGGTGACATGGAGGAGATCGTGTGAAGAGGAGTTGAAACAGTATGGACTGACATGGATGCAGGTGAAAAGTACAGCAGAAGACAGAAACAAGTGGAGACGTGTAGTTGAAGCCCTTTGTTCCACTAGGAACCCAAGGGAACAATAATAATATAACCGTTTGTGTGGATCTCCTGGGTTTTACTAGTTTGGAGTTAGGGAATAAATAGTTAGTTGACCAGGAAATTATCCAGAGTTCATTGTCTTAAATTAGCATTCGTATTTATATACTCGACGATATCATGACAGACTCGTAATTAACTAGCTAATCTGTTACGCTTCAATGATGGTTATGTTGATTGGTCACTAGGATGAAGAGTGTCATGTTTCTAGCCCTTTGTGTTGATTGGTGTGTAGTTATTTTACCAACTTATAATATTATTTCCTACTTATTTGTTGTTAGCTTTCGTGGTTATAACACTATGCCATCGAAGTATGCCAATTCCTTCTCACTACATACAAAACTGTCAGATTCTCACAGTAGAATACATCAGTAGAAATATATATATATGTATGACTTTACTGTTTAAAGGAGACTCAGCTACTACTCAGAATTACTGCCATCGAAATTTCGAAAAATAATGGCTAAAGCATTCTTCGCCGCTTTACTGTGTTTAAAATTCATCACTCGTTGTATAATTCCAACGCCAGTAATGGATAAACTGCCAATTCTGACCATTTTAATGTACACATAGAAATTGAACTAGACTTCACCGATGATATATGTCTGATTTCCCACAAACTGGAAGATATGCAAACGAAAAGCAACAAGTTGGTAGAAAAAGCATCCAGAGAAGATAGGACTTCCTTCATGTGAACATAGATAAGACAGAGGTGATGAAGATTCCTGGGCAACACCACCAACAGCAACAACAACAGACAACGATCAGCATAAATGGAAGGAACCTGAAAGAAACAACCTCTTTTACCTACCTGGGAAGCATCGCTTCAACTACAGGCGAACGGAACTGACGAGGATATCAAAGCAAGAATCGGAAAAGCAAGACAAGCTTTCACCACTCTCAAGTCTGTGTGGAGGTCAACAGCACTCAGCATCAAAAATAAGATCCGGATTTTCAACTCCAATGTGAAGTCAGCGCTACTTACTATATGGATCAGAGACTTTCACTGCGCGTCATAAAGAGCATCTGAAACAAACTACAAACCTTCATTAACAGTTGTCTTCGCCCAATACTCAAGATCAGATGGCCTGTCAGAAAAGATCAGCAACAAAGATCTCTGGCAATGAGCGAACTAACCCAGCAGGAACCGATTGTGAAACAAATAGGCAGGAAGAAATGGAGATGGATTGGCCATACTCTGAGGAAACCATCAAGTGACATCACTAGACAAGCCATCGCTCGAGTGGAACCCGAAATGGAAGCGGCGAGTTGGTCGTCAGTGCAAGGGTGACTTGGAGGAGGTCATGTGAAGAGGAGATGAAAATGTGTTATCTCTCACGATGACACCCGATAATTGTAAATATTATCTTATTATTTTATTTTAATTGTAAGGCTAACTGTATTATTAATATCATGCAGTGCTGTAGTTAAACATTTTATTCTCGGTTGCATAATTTATGATTATTATATTATCTAATTGATATGTTACAATAGTTATTTTCCCCTCTACTTATATTGTATACGCACACCGTTACCTAGACTACGTGAGTACTTGGATGAATTTATCCCTTTTATCGTTATTATAAGTGCATCGGTGATATAGCGGTCAGGACGCTCGCCGACCATACACATGGTCCCGGCCGAAGCACTCCTTTAACCTCGCTAAGCTAAAAATAATGCTGGTAAAGAGGAAAGGTTGGGCATGAGGGTAGCAACCCTATCCTGTAAAATGCAATAAACACTGCTACAGAAACTTCAAGCCACTAGCTTGAAGCCCTATGTTCCACTGGGAACGTGAAGGGTAAAAAATTATTATTATAACCACCTCGGTTGTTATCTGTTAATTCGTATCCCTGAACTCTGATCTTATATTCTGCTGACCACATTCATTCAAATGCCTATGACCAATATTTCATTATGAGAATTTACCGAAAATACGCATTTGCTTTTCTCGTGTTTTATAGTAAAAATCTAGATAAACGTATACTACTTACTAGTAACAAGTAGTATAAAGTTATACACAAATAAAAGAGTATCAAAAGATAGGTAAGAAAGGAATTAACTGTGTTTCATCTTTTAAATAATAAGAATATCTGTTTTCTGCTCCTTCATTTCTTCTAGATTAGCGGCGGACAAACTACACCAGCTGTTCAACCACCGGAAGTTGCCAAAGGTGTACAATCAATATTTGATGGTGCCAAGCTAGACGTTTATAGTGCTGGTGTAACATTATACTTTATGCTAACTGGTCACGTACCATTTTCATGTCAAAATGTGTTACAAATATTTGAAGCAATCGTTAAAGGTGATTATACTATCCCTGGACATGTATCAACAAATGCATCAGATTTAATTAGAAAAATGATGCTTAAAGATCCTAAGGTGAGTCTATTCCTTTAGGTTCCGGGTATAACAATGAACTTCAACAGGAAGGACATCTCCATTCCACTCTCTTCTGTTCTGTTTTCTTTTTTCCAGCTGGATCCATGACTGTGCATAAGTTTCCATACTATATCACCCTCGAAGCCACGCCCATTTCGTCGTTCTCCATTAGGGTCCCACTCGATGTCATGCCTGGTGCCTGATAGTCATTCAACGGTCTCGTCAGCTTTTTATCACTGAAGGCACTAAAAAGCTAGGCGTTTTGTCTTTTTTTCTGATTCTGCAACAACAAGTGTACTCAACTTCTGTTTTATGATATTCAGGCTGAAATTGTACGACCTCTGTAAGCACCTTGATGCATCACTCAGCAGGTCACAGTTTAAAAGTTCGTCTGTTGAAAGACTATGGTAGCCAGGCTACCTTTGACACCAACCAACTAACGAAAGGAAAGTGTTGTATTTATGCTTGTTGCTTTGAACACCAATAGTCTGTGGTCACTTTCCTTGAAATGTACAAACAATAGTAAATATATTAATCACAGAGAGATTAAATTATGCTAAGATTAACTATGCAGCACTACTACTGTTATCTTTTCAACTTGAGAAATGTCCTTCTAGGCAACATATACCTTCATGTATCGAAGAAGAGTCAGTGATTCTTTTGTGGTATACTCGCCAATCATACACAAGATCCCTGTTGGATTTTCAGCTGATGCACTTGTAAACCCAGCTTCGTTCACTAGCTGATTGATAGCAGTCCCCCAGAAAAGAGGAAAGGTTTGGTGTTAGGCTAGCCACCCAACTCCACGAAAGCAATTTAACACCCTCATCCCTACTGAAATTTAAAAGCTAGTTTTTGAATAGAGGAAATAATAATTGTAATAATGGCTTTATCGCAAACAGTACACTTGATACAAATGCGGAATTTTCAGCATGGAATACACTACTTTATCTAATTTTCTTTCCACATAGTAAGGTGGAAATAATTGACGGAGGATGTCGATAAGAAAAAATGAATGTAGCACTAGTGACTACGATACACTAATGATGGAATACCAGAGGCTGTTTGCTTACTGTTTCGCAGTAAGTTGGTAGTTTCATAGTTAACACTTTTTTCATCACATAAAATGCCCGCCTAGTAATAATGACTTTATTCGAAACAGTACTTTTGATACAATGGGGAATTTCAGTAGAGTTTACATACTTAGCCGTCTGAGCATTAAGTCTTTTATGATGGCTTCTAGTCCTACCTGTTGACATGCAAGCGGAGATTGCTCATAGCCCGACAAGATGATATTTACATGGAGTTCAAGTATCTGTCCACAACAGTATTAAAGAGGTTGGTTTAGCAACATCCCATTCACAGTTTTTGGTACTTTTTGCTTCAATAACACATCACTTTCTTCTACTTGCTGCTCTCCTCTTCAAGTGGACCCACGATTGCCCATAATCTCTCATCTCCTCCTCCCCACACGCTCTCCTCCATGTTACCCTCGGAGAAAAGCCCCACTCGTCGTTTCCCATTCGGATTCCAGTCGAGCAATGGCCTGCATTGTGCGCGATGTTATTCGATGGTCTCCGTGTGTGTCCTATCCATTCCAGTTTTCTCCTACATATTTGGTGAACGCTAGGATCGTGGTTAGTTTGTTCCCATAGTTCCTTGTTGCTGACTCTTTTTGACCGGCTGCCATCGTACGCAGCTGTTGGTAATGCTTTTCGTGATGCTCAGTGTAAGTTCCTGACCCATATGGAAGAACTGACTGACTTGACATCGGTATTGAAAACCCGAATCTTGTTGTATATGCTGAGGCGGAGTGCAGAAGATTTCCAAACCGATTTTGACGTGATGAAGGTGTATCTTGCCTTCCAGATGCTGCACAGCCTTTATGTCTTCATGCGTGCCATCTGCCTGTGGTTGAAAACGCACTTCCTAGATAGGTGAAGAAAGTAACCTCGTTCAAGTATTTTCCCGTTGATAGTGACTGGTGCTTGTTATTGTGGCTGTTGGTTGGTTATCTTCATAACCTCCGTCTTCTCTATGTTCACCTTGAATCCTGCTTTCGATGCCTGCCTCTTCAGCAAGTTTGCTGGTTTTCGTCCGAAAGTCTTCGAGTTTGTGTGGCATATGACATAAATAATCAGTTAGAGAACCTTTGGAAAACCTGCAGGGAGTACTGGATGGCTGTTTCGTCTTAGTTTGGGAGTCTTCATCAGTACGCACTCACCACAGAAGGCACTGGGGTTGAACTTCCTGTGATGGGTGCGTGCTAATGAAAAGTCCCAAACTAGGGCGAAATAGCTGTGCAGTACTCCGAGGTTTTCCAATGGTTATCTAACCGATGTCAGCTCATGATGAAATCCTCCAACCGAACAAACAAAATCCCAGAAGACCAATACTTAAAAACATAAATAATCCTCAAAGAGTCCGGATCCTCTAGAGTCTTCTTACTGGTCCAGCGTAACCCTGTTTTCTCACTCCTCACAGTCTGCTGCACAATCCAGGTCACCACAATCAGGAATATCATTGGTGATAAAATGCAGTCTTGTCTCATTCCTGCATTGCCTTCAAAAGTTTCGCTGTAGCTTACTTGACACATGACATTGTCATATAGCTGTTGAATGAGGCTGATAAAGGTTCGGGTAGTCTCCAAATTACTTCTCGGTCAACTTTGTCGATGGCCTTTTCGAAGTCGATGAAGTTGAGGTAGAGTAATACACTATTGTGTATTTAATGATAGCGTTTCAAAGTGAATTTATACTGCTGCTTATAATCATGTCAAGATATTCATATGGCTTTCAGATTTTGGGTAATTTTCCATATTTCTGGTATCGGTATTGCGTCATTCCTATTGCGCATGCACTTGATACTCATGCATACGAATGATACTGCAGAACAATTTACAACGACTCTGATATGAATAACATAGGTCAGAGGAATAGATTGGGATGTGGGGGATTGTAATCACGTTATCAATACATAAAAATTTAGCTAAGTACCCAATTGTCTAAGTATACAGTTGTCCTAGTAGTCTCTACCTCTAACGTATGCCCTCTGATATATTCAGTTTCAGATTGACTGGCCTACAGAAATCAATCAAGTACGCTAACTTTAGATCCTAGAACATAGACACACTTTTAGGCGTCCAACAATTGCCATATTTCTTGACTTGAAGGCGGCCTTCGACTCCGTGGATCGAGAGGTACTATGGCAATATTTGACTGTGAAGGGAGTGCATTGCACTAATCAAGGCACTCTACTCAAACTCACGTAGCCGTTTAAGGGTTTATGGGGAATTGTCATCTGAATTGATAACAACCAGTGGTGTCCGTCAAGGATGTCCACTTTCCCCTTTTCTGTTTAACTTTATCATAGATATGCTAATGGAAGTATCCTTAACTGAACTTAACGACTTAGGAATTGACTTGTTACCAGGGAATAGTCTTATGGACTTAGAATATGCAGATGACATAGTCCTGTCAGGGGAGGATGCTGACAAAATGCAGAGTCTTCTGAACATCTTGAGCAGCAATCTTCTTATGTTTGGCATGCGATTCGCCCCTGTGAAATGTAAGATGCTGCTACAGGACTGGACTACGTCAACTCCTAGCTTAGTGACAGGGAGTGAAGTGATAGAACATGTTGACCACTTCACCTATTTGGGAAGTTGTATCAACACCAACGGATTGATTGGTGACGAAATCTCAGCACAGATCCAAAAAGCTCGGGCTGTTTTCGCCAACCTACTTCGTCTCTGGCGTAGGCGTGACATCCGGCTATCAACCAAGAGACGTGTGTACTGCTCATCAGTTCGCTCTGTCCTTCTCTATGGCTCTGAAACATGGCCAATACCAGTTGAAGACATGAAAAGGTTGACTGTTTTTGATCATAGATGTCTACGATCTCTTTCTCACGTTAGGTGGCATAATAAGGTAAGTAATGTTGACGTTAGGCGTAGAGTGTTGGGCAAAGAGGGAAAATCAATCGAAGAGGCTATAAAGTTACATAGATTGAGATGGCTAGGTCACGTGCTGCGCATGCCTAGCCATCGCCTCCCACGACGGGCATTACTAGCTGATATAGGTGCAGGTTGGAAAAGAGTAAGTGTGGCCAAACAAAACCATGGCCTCATCAATCCATGAAATCCCTGACAGTTAAACTGAGTCAGGTAGGGAGGGAGATGCAGACTTCCGGGTTGGGGCCCTCGGGACTCTAAGAATCAATGGCTGGAGACACTAGGTGACATGGCTCAAAATCGTTGTCAATGGCGCAGATGTATTCAGTCTCTGTAAACTTTCATATTCCTTTCTACCATTACTGATTCTGTTTCACTCTTATACTTGTCAAAACTCTATTGATTCCCTTCACTCATCTTCTTGTCTACCTTTGTGTGCTATTCGGAACGTGGCAACTCGAACTGCTGCACTTGGGTGCCAAGTTCTATGTTGAATCCAGACAGATAGACAGACTTTAGATTGCTTTTTTCTAGCCCACTATGTCTGCAACAATCATAACACGGGCATAATCGATAGCCAAATTGTGTTTACTGGTGAATTGTTGCGTACAGATATATCTGTGAAAATACGTGAATCTTACACTGAAATCTCCATTTGTACATGTTCTTCATATTGTGCGTTATTTTTTTTATCTTCCTTTCGTGGTTTGCTTTTCATGTTGCTTCACACGAACATATCATTTCTCCATTTAATCCCTCGCTCTGCAGAAGGATGGATATCACATGCACGCAACAGACTACTTAAAAAAGTCTTATCAGAAACCACCGACCACAAATCTATACATGATGTGATTTTCAGTATTTGTCACAATATTACATCAAATTTACTCAAAATATAAATAAAATTAACCACAGGAATTCGCCCACATTTACAGTAGGAATAATGTCAAAAATGTTCAAAGTATAAAATGGAATAATGATACAGTGGGTTTGTTTCAAACAATACTGTCGATACAGTATGGAAATTTAGGCATGTTATAGAGTATTGAATCGAATGTTATCTTGATATAGCATAGTGAAGGGAAAAACAAAAAATAACAATTATTATTACAGAAGTTAAATGATGTTTACACTTATGAGAAAAAAACACAAAAAATAAGAGGATTATAAATATAAAAAGAATAATAACAGTAAAGCTTTGGTGGTATAAGGGTTGGAAAATTGTTTATTTACAAGTGGAAAGAAGGTTAATTAGTTAGTTAGTTAGTCAGTTCGTGTCTGACACCATTTTCGTCACATAAAATACGTGCTGCCAAATATAATATCGTGGAGTTTTTATTGCTTAGACGTGTGTGCATAAAGTCTTTTAAAATGACTTCTTGTTCTACCCGAGGAGATGCAAGGTGAAATATGCGGGTAAAGTGGGTGTTCAAAGTCGTCTGACAAAATCCCTTTAGCGAATTTGTTGCATGAAATCAAATGCCTATCAACGATAACATATTGGCGGATGCCCGGCGCTCTTCACCGGGTTGACTGTCCATTGGATGACAGTCTAGGGGAGATGGCTAAACCCTGATTCCAAACCTCCAACAACTGGCGTATGAAGCTCACTGGAGCTCACCGGCAGACGTATGGACAAAGGGCTTGTTGGATGTCCTGGATGTCTGGCCCCATTCAAAAAGGCGTATGAACCGAACTCCGGTCACCGGCTGCCAATGGATAGTGGACTCCCTACTCCACTCCTACTGCCTTGGTTGTGTAAAGGCTAGAGCTGTACTCTCAAACAAAAGGCCGAGTGGTTCTGGGGACATCACTCGTACCAAATTCCCATGAAACTTCGTAAACTCTCTTCATCAGATCGCTGCGCCTGGGTAGCGATGATTTGAGAAGTTCATGAAGCCGGCTCATCCTTCCGTAGGAGATAGCCGAAGCAAAGTAAAAAAGTAAATAACATATTGGCAGAGGAAAATAACAGAAGAGAAAAGACGGACCTGTTTTACACATGTGAAAGGTCTTATTGTCTCAAAACAATTGTTAAAAAAATATGCTATATATTACTATTACTACTGAATACCACTCACATCAATCATTAATACTTGTGTGTTAGCCAGCCAGATTGAAGTGATTTTAAAATCCAGACGGATCTAAGTTCATCAAATGGTGTGACAAATTTCTGACTCAGTTTGGAAAGCAAAATTACTTAAGTCAGCAGGATATGTGATCTGCTAGCTTACCACAAATAGCAACCGAAAAAAACAAGCTTAAGTCCATGAGTAGTTGTGTATACTACTCACATCGACACCAGTAATCCTCACTAGTCAGACGGACAGACGTTTCGAAGTCTCAAAGTGAACTAACTGTGGTGGAATTTCACTTTCTTCAGCTATTTTTTTGAGAATACTGAATGATCAAAAGAGTAGCTGTTTTAAATGGCCTTGATAGATACTAAATTCACCACCGATGACAGTCTCCAGCCTTCAGACAGAGTGTGATGAGTCACGGAAACATCATGAGTGCGCAAAAAGAAACATTAAATGAAAGTAAAAAAAAAACACTTTGTTTTCTACATTCTCTTATTTTATTTTACTTTTATTCCCCCCCCCCCCTTCTTCTCTCACTTAGAAACGTTTATCTCTATTACAAATTCGTCAACACATTTGGTGTATTCAAGATCCTGTGCCACCGATGTCAGTTGAAAAAATTAAAGAGAAATTACGCAATGAATTAACACAATCAGATAGTACACCAACAAAACGACGTGGTATAATCTGTTGGCTTAATCCATTAGTCTATTTGCGTAGATCAAATTCAGAATATCCTTCACCGCATATAGATGATACAGGGGCGAGAATATTCACTGCTGAAGAAATTATTGACAACAGTGAAGAACAGTTAACCTCAACAGAGGGAGGTGTCATTTGTAATGATGATACTGCTGTTGCACCATTCTCTGTTATTGATCGATTAAAGGTAAGTTGAATATGTGAATGAATGAATGAGTGACTCTTTATTTTGTTCTTGTTGCAGCAGTAGTACTGATTTCAAAGATGCAAACTTCATCATGAATCGACATCAGTTAGACGTACGTACTGGACTACTAAGGGAGGGGGGAGGCTGGATTCAATCCCTAATGTGGATGAGGAGTCATGCATGCGTGTGTGTATACATACTCCTGAAGAGTCTTGGACTAGGGCGAAAGAGTTATTGGTTCGTGGTGTCGAAATCTACTTTGGAAACCTACTTTGATTTTCACTATGTTTGGGAAAAATTCACACTTCACAAGTATATTCTCATCCGGCCACGTCTGTAGACTTAAGATATTCGAGCATTAGTTCCTTTTTTGTTGTGACTAAAGCATTCAATGAATATTTTTTAGGAGTGTTTCTCTCTGTTAAGTTTACAGAGAAACCTATATCAGTATGTGCGCTGAATACACTGTCTAAGAAGACGATGAGACCTAATTCGAAGTTATAAACCCAACTGTGTCTTGAAGTATTTGGAACCATTTTATCATGTGTGCCTACCGATTGCTTATCCCAGTGAGAAGTGTTAACTGATATGGTCTTATTATTACATCCGTAAGAAAACAAACTTTTGTCACACCATTACGCGTCATATCGAACTATAATGTTACTGTTGACCATTGGTCCATGAATATTGCTCGACTGCGATTTGTGTGAAAACGGTAAACTTCAAAATACTATGCAATCAATGCATTCGTACTTTAATTCTCTTCTTAATGTTAGATTTTGTAGAGATTCGATTAATTTTGATGGTTATTATTTTTGGCATCAGTAGTTTAGAAGGGTGGGGACTTCCGGGTTACCACCATTCAAAGCCATGAGAGCACTGAACAACTATTTCACCTTGATTCGAAATTCTTCACCATATGTTGTATCAATGGTTCCATCTGGGAATTCTAACCTACTTGGTTCGAAATCCATCCACTCTATGACTGACTGAATTTTCATTGTAGAAGTCTGCACAAATATTTTACATTTCAGGGTGCCACAATAATAATTATTATTATTGCATAGAAAATAATCAAAAATTTAATTGATCTAGGAGAAGACAGACAGTAACTACACCTGAACTATTGAGTCATATCAGCAACAGTCTCTAACCATTGTTGGTTTTAGGAACTCAGGGAGCCCTGTCTACACGCACACACACACACCCACTATGTGACTTAAACCAAGAGTCAAAAAATTCATGGGTTGATGCAATTTCTTGGTTTTACCACCTGTAAATTTGGCATGCATGACATGTGGTCTAACCATCTCAAATGATTCACTTTGATAACCTCACCGACTAACTTTTACCCTTTACACAACCCCGTTGTTACACACTATATGATGCCATCTAGTATAAGAAAAGGAACGCAAATGACTAGCCTTTATCATCATTTCTTCCACTTTAATGGGCCACGTCTCACAGCCGTGAAGAAGGACAAATTGGACCTCAGTACACACGTCGTTTAGTCGATAGTCAGGAAATTTCAGGTCTAGAGTAAAGATGACGCAAGTTGACAAATGCCAATTGAGCCTTTTGTTAAAGCTCATCATCAGTCAGTCTTTTAGAGCTGATGTAACTTCCCAAATGAGTGTAGTGGTCAACACGCTCAACCACTTCTTCGCTCCGTATCTTTATACTAGGCGTCAGTGCTGACCAGTCCTGCAGCCATCATCTTACCATTTGACAGGTTCGAATACCATAAGAAATATTCTACTATAGGTTTTTAGAAGACTCTGCATTTTGTCAGCGTTAACGCCTAAGAGGAAAATATCCGTAAACTCTAAGTCGAAGAGAATTTTCCCTGTTAACAAGTCATTCCCTGAGTCGCTAAAGTTGGTTAGGATTGCATCCATTAGTACATCCATGACGAAATTAAACAAAAATGAAGACATTAGGCATTCCTGACAGACACAACTGGTCTTTGTCACTTCAGATGATAAATATCTGTGAGTTGTTACACGGCTGCATGAACTGGAATGCATCGATTCTTGGCACTTGCTTCACTACCAGACTTTGCCATAACACCTCTTGGTTAACGGAGTGAAATGCCTCCTTCAGGACAAGAGATGTGACAAGTGTTAAAATACCGATAAGTATGCCTGTGTTTCAGAATATGTTAAAGGGTGAAGATGCATTCTTAGATTAGAACCCAGCAGTCATCGTTTCAAATTCTCGATTCCTCCAGTTTTCATTTTCTATCCTTTTCTTTCTTAGGTATATCATGATCTGGATGATGACGATGATGAACACTCAAAACCTGAGGATATGTCAAGTTTCTTTTATTCCCCTGAAGCATGTTTACAGTATTCGGGTATTGAATCACATCTCGCCAATTTAGGTAGGATTAAATTCAATGAATTGTCGACTTTATTTCGTTAAATATTCTACGCTACTTGCTAATTTGCAAGTAGTTTAATGGTTTTAAATAAAATTAATTATACCTAATAGCTTATTTACCATCGTTTTAGGTTGAAACCATTGTTAACGTCTGATGGAGATATTTCTTTCTGCTCAGACGCTTAATTATTTTTTATTTATGGCTCTTTGAGTTTTAGAAGTGTTGATCTTCCCTTTGTTCAGCAATCGAGGTGTCAGCAGAGCCACTTACTACCAACCAGTAGTGTTTGCTAGACAGATCGAATTGATCTAGAAACTAGACTGCTGTTTTGCCTGTTTGGGACCAAGCTCATCATCTGTGTACTTGGATTACCTCAGATCAGAGGGCCGAATCAATTCTAACCACCAAAAATTCGGCTGTTTACTTCGACGAACTGGTATTAATGGACAGTTGGGAACATAAAGCCCTTAGAACGTTTAATACTACTCCTAGGTTATGATGGGGATATCTGGATGACACATGCGTTACGTTGAAGTCTGTACTTACCCCTCAGTCATTCACATTTATAAACTCAATGGTGGACGGAATTCAATTCAATTTTTGAATAAGAAAACCAACAGAGTGAGTTGGCTATGCTAGAATGTAGAATAGAACGAAGAAGAGATGGTAGGTCAGATATTAGCATTAATGGGAAATCAACAACTGTAAGAAGTGCTTAGACTTTAGTTCATCCTTTTCAAAATTGGTAAAGATATGCTTGACTAAATGTTTATATGATCAGGCCAGTAACCTAACTAGTAAATCAGAACATTTAAATAGTGAAATCAAACAAATGAAGAAAATATTATTGGCGAATAACTACCCACCAAAATATATTCAGAAATGTTTGAAGACCCAGAGAAAAAATGAGATTAGTAATGGAAAGGACAAAGTAACAACAGTAATATAGAAGTCAAAGCTTCTGTAGTACTGCCGTATAAATAAGAAACGTCAGAGACCTTATGCGGGATTTTCAAGGAGGCTCTCTCAAAGATAAACTTTCTCGGCTTAAGGACCCAATAGATTCAATTAGGAAAAATGATGGAATTTACCAAATACCATTTAATGACTGTGAGGTCAATTACATAGGTCAAACTAGTAGATCAGAGTCAGCCAGATTGTTATATTATTATTATTATTGTTCCCTTGGGTTCCTAGTGGAACATAGGACTTCAACTACACATCTCCACTTGCTTCTGTCTTCTGCAGTACTTTTCACCTGCGTTCATGTTAATCCATACTGTTTCAGTTCCTCATCACACGATCTCCTCCATGTCACCCTTGGACGTCCCACTCGCCACTTCCTTTTCGGGTTCAGCTCGAACGCGTGACGCGTGATGTCACTCAGCGGCCTGCTCAGCGAGTGTCCAATCCATTTCCACTTTCTCCTGCATATTTGTTGAGCGATTGGTTCTTGCTTTGTTTGTTCCCATAGTTTCTTGTTGGTGATTCTTTCCGGCCATTTGATCTTCAGTATAGAGCGAAGACAGTTGTTGATAAAGGTCTGCAACAGGCTGTTGGAAATATTCTTTGTGACCCGCCACGTTTCTGATCCATCCGTATAGAAGAACTGACTGACTTGACGTTTGTATTCGAAATCCGAATTTTGTTGTTGATGCAGGCTGAGTGACGAAGATTTCCAGATCGGTTTCAGGTTGATGAATGTGTTTCTCGCCTTTCCGATTCTCGATTTGACATCCTCGTCCGTTCCTCCTGTAGTTGAGACAATGCTCCCTAGATAAGTGAATGAAGTGACCTCTTTCAAATCCCTCCCGTTGGTGGTGATTGGTGTTGGATGTTGTTGTTGTTATTTGGTTGTTTTCATAACCTCCGTCTTGTCTATGTTCACCTGGAGTCCTGTCTTTACTGCTTCTTCGACCATTTTGTTGGTTTTCGCTTGTAAGTCTTCGATTTTGTATGACATCAAACATAAATCATCCGCGATTGTTGGGACATAAAAATTTAGCTAGACCTAGAATAGTTGACCCTGCTAAGTTAAATAACCTAGAAAAAAATCTCAACCATGGCATTACATTCACTTGCATGTAGTCACAAAACAGGATGGGACAAGTTGAGAGTTTTTAAAATGTAATATAGTTAAGTAGAGAATGAGGTTAATGACTGAATCTTTGTGCAATCGGAATGACGCAACGCCCATAACACGGAGATATGAAAAGTGACAACAAACAACGAAGGAAAGTTGGGGGGAGAAAGCGAGAAAGAGAAAATATATGTGAGACAAATTGTGAAGCCGCGTGACTAGATTGATATAATTATAAGCAATAATTTATTCATACTGCATCCCTGTGTGATGTTTAAAATAATCTAACCCATTATGGAAATATAAAGACAAAGGCTAGGCAACAGATTGTTTATTGAGAAAATGAAGAGGTATTTATAGATTTTATGTGCATTATTGTCAGCGGAGGTGAAACTTTCTTCTGATTGGTTGTTTTCTTGCTGAAGGTTGTAACAACAGAAGGCAAGGGTCAGGCAACAGATCGTTTATTAATGAAATCAAAGCATATTTATATATTTTCATGTACATTATTATAGCTTAGTTAAGCAAACAAACACAGTCTTTTGATTGGTTGTTTCTCACTTAAAGTTAATCTTTCATCTATTTGTGACTGTTTCTTGAATGTCAAATCCTCTACATGTTAACTGCATCCGCCTACGCAAAGTATGCTGTGGTCGGTTTTAAATCAATCTTTGTTCACATTTTCTCACGACAAATCTTGGGAACGTAAATATTGACGTAAATTACTGTCTACCAATTTGGCTAGTAGACAGCTCTCACCACAAGGTTATTCTACTATTGCTTTTGTGAGCGTTTCTCAGAAAATGAAGCCATATATCTGCGTATCGTATTTCCACACGTTAATTCCGCTGTGATTGGCTGGTGATTTCTTCAAGGTTAAGCTTTGTTATTGTCTTTCTCATACCCCTGATTCGGGCCGTAAACATTGACGTAAATTGTTGTCTACAATTTTGGCTTGCAACCAGCTGTCACCCCAGTAATACATTTTGTCAGTAAGGTAGAGTGTACACACGAGTCCTAATAGTGTTTACTTTCATTTTGTTTGACAAATACTAAATTAATGATAAGTATATTGGCAACAATAATTTTATTTAATAATACCCAATTGCTAAGGTCAAAAGAATTACAGTTTATAATCCTGTGTAAGTGATTCTACTCATAGAAATGTAATCCTCAATTGAAAAAGACAAAATTAAGGCAAGAATTGGTGCGTCGGTGGCACAGTGGTAGAGTGCTGACCAACCACGCAGGTGGTCCGGGGTTCGATCCCGGGCCACCGACACGCTCCTTTACCTCGTTAAGCCAGTAATAAGACTGGTGAAGAGGGAAGGTTGGGCATGAAGCTAGCAACCCCATGCCGTAAAAATAAATACCACTGCTACCGGAACTTCAAGCCTCTAGCTTGAAGCCCTATGTTCCACTGGGAAGGTGAAGGAATAAAAAGGGCAAGAATTAAAGATAGTTGAAAACAATAGCAACTTATAAAATGGCTTAGACTAAAGGGGAAATTGTCAGATTCTTACAATCCCTGTAGTGATGATCAAAGTGAGGAATGTGCTGGCCGGGCAAATTTCTTTCGAATACATAAGTTTTGAAGGTTTCAGATGAATTTTGTTAGCGTCAACTATAATGTAGAAAATGAACTCGTAGGGCAAGATTAAGATCATTGGGTATATGATAGATAACTGTGTAACTGCCTTGTTAACATCAATAATTTGTGTGTTCAGTATCTTCAAGGTGAGCTAAAACGGAGCTGTGAATACACCTACACCTTGTTTGTTATAAAAGTTTTTGTATTTCCCAATGATTGAAAAAGATCAAAACGATATTGTTGTTCTTACTGACGCTTCGCTATTTCATGCTGCTGCTAATAGCTTTATCAAAGTATTATCAAACCAGAATTTACGAAATCTCAACTTGCATTATATAACAACTTAATCACCGTTCGTCGAGCATGGAGGAATTTGTAAGTTGTCAAGTTGGCCAAATGGTAAAGATAACAAAAAGAAGTGTGGGTTGTTGCGTTTGATAAGCTTACAAAATTATAAAAGTAGCATGTGTTTACATAATGATGAAACTGCTTATCACGTTCGTGTTGATTTTGTCATTTCATGGGGGAGTACGGTGTTGTAACCACGTCAAATTCTGTTTTAGTCCATCATTCCGATTCATCAGACAATTTGGATTCCATTTGATATGAAGTGCTTATGATGATATGAGACGTTCTTTGTGATTTGTGAAATTTTCCTGGATTATTTCAATATTGTCAAGATCAATTTTGTGACCTGATTCTATTGCGTGCTGATGAGCTATGGCGATGTTTGTCCAATGTATATCGCATCATACTCGAAACACTTTACTTTATAGATACAATTATAGTGAGAATCCCTTGGAATTTGGTCTTTTATATGAACAAGTTTGCTTTGTACTGTGTCTGGTGTTTTGAAGAAAACTCTGATGTTGTGCTTATTGAGGACTCTTCTGATATCGTCTGACGTTTCTGATCTATATGGGATGACAACCGTTAAGGTCCATGTCTTCGGAATACGTTTTCGACCATACTTAATGTCAGTGTCGATTTGGTTTATGAAGTTTTTTGGGTAGTTTTTTTTTTTTTGAGAGAGAGTCTCAGTAATTTTTGATATTTCTTCTTTTTCCTTCTCACAACCGTTAGCAAAGAGTGTGCTCGTCTAAGAAGACTTGAAACAACTGATACCTTTGTGCTGTTGGGCTGTGATCTGAAGTCGAACTGTTTGTTCGAGTGTGTGTTCTTCCGGAATGTAGATATATTGAAATCCCCGTTTTCTATCCTCTTGACTGAGCAGTCTAGAAATGGTAGTTCACCGACGCCTGACTCTGTTCCTAAAGTAAACTGGATGCTGGGAGACTGATTGTTTTGTTTCTCCAAGAATTAACTAAATAGGTGTCGTTTTAGGTCTACAAAAGTATCATCAACGTACTTTACTTAACTGTATTTTAGACGTGATTATGCTTGAAAAGATGTTATCTTCAAATGTATTCATGAAAACGATCAGCGACTATTGGGGAAACTGATGAAACCATAGCAACACCATTTGTCTGTCCTTACAAATTCCCCTTAAATGTAAAGCAATTTCTTTTCAGACGGAATTTTAAGCTCTTAATTATTTCACTGGTGTCCAGTGGACACCTTGTTTGTATCCTTCTTGCCTAACAGCCATGCAGCAATTTTTGAGATACTGAAAGCTTACAGAGATGTATTACTTTTGAAGTATGACTTAGTAGTGTATAGATATATACACTGTTGAAAAAGTTATACTGTTCTCTCCTGTCTTCATCTTTTCTCTGCTCTTAACTGTTTTAAGTCCTACCAGTGTGCTAGTGATAATCCAGCGTGTTATGACCATATGATAACTTTACCTGATAGTATTAATTTACGATTTACAATTCATTTTGCAGGTATTGTTCCGTGTTGCCCACATGAGTCTGAATCAAAATTACAGTTTCAATCTGCATATCCTGTTCCTATGAATGCTTCACACAACGACAGTGCTTTCAACAAGGATAATCATTTATCTGACAATAATATTCAACAAAAACTGAGTCATGATATCTCTCTTCCGGTGTATGAAGCTTCACAACCGCCGAATTTTACAACTGATGCCAAGAACCAGATACTACTACCAGAACCTCCTGCATGTCCAGCTGATTTACCAGTCTCTGTCCCGACGGCATCATATAGACTACCTCCTACATTTGAATTGAATTCATGTGTCACTTTTCGTACTGGTAGTCTTCCAGATGCAAGTGAATTAATCCCCTCCAATTCAGATGGTGGATATCAAGAAGAAGAAGCAGTAGAAGTGGAAAGCGGTAATGTTGTTGATCATTCATCGAATCAAAAAACTTGGCATTGTGGATCAAGGTTTAAAAAACCCCATGATTATACAAAGAATTCACAAACATTGCCCGATATCGATCAGGTGTCTAGTGATTTTGATACTGATGACAAGACATTTATACCTGAAGAGAGTTGTTCTTCAACTACTCATCGAAAGAAAGACAAAAAGCATGCAGATAAAGAACTTGTCAAGAGTTGTACCAGCAGTACTGGCGGTCCGCATCATCCGCACAATATGCGTAAATTAACTAGATGGTTTTCAAATTCATTCACTTCATTCCGTCATCGAATACAAAGTCTTCGACAAAAAGAACTAACATCGAATGGTTCACACAGTCATGGGGCTGGTTATTCTGCACCAACTCAACCAGCATTGTCGTCATCAGCCTCATCATCAGCTCCTTATTGTCATCGTACTGTGAATAGTGCAGCAGAATTAACCACATCTATGATTATTGATAAGCCTTCTGTTGCTGTACCCAATGATTCAATTGATTCCTCGGGTCATCCGCCGCCAACGTCTCAATCATCTCCGAAGATATCGATTTCACGAATGTTTACAAAGAGAAAGTTTAGTATTAAAAAATGACTTTTGTTTGCTTTTCTGTTTGTGTTTTGTATTCACTTCTGTTTTCAAGTGTATTCCCATGGATTATGCGATACTATGATGTCCCTATCTCTCCTATTGTATCTATCATGCAGATCACTCAATCAAAGTGTAGAAAATTATATAGACTTGAATATGTTACTTCTCTTTCATTGATGGGTGGATATATTGTGGACTATTTATGTAATTAACAAACAAACTTTGTCTGTCTGTTTGTTTGTTTGTTAATTCTCTAGCTTGCGAGTTTTTGCCTGTGTATTTATGTGCATGTCAGTGTGTGTCTGATTGACCGGTTGATTGATTGAGTAGATTCATATTGCATTCCTTTCACAATGCACAGAATTTATTTTCTTGCGTGCGCACGTGCCCTTCGCCCTCACCCGTCGTCCATTTTTAACTAAATTAGTTCGCTTGATCAGAATAAGGAAAGAAACAGAGAATTAAAGGAGAAACAGTTGAATTTTTCTCCAGCTGCTCAGCCGCCCCCACCCCTGCTCCACAAACACACGCACGCACGCAGCACTTGTACAATTTTAACAATTTAGAATATATATAAATATTTATTTCTACATTTCATACATATTTTTTTCTTCTCTTCTGATTATTTTTCTCTTTGTTTTGCTACTACTACTTATATGCATCAATTAAGTAGTTTGTTGTTGTTTTGCTTAACTTTTACTTCATTCTGTGTTAAATACATAAAGAATCTGTGAATACATGAAGGATGAGAGAGAGACAGAGTACAGTGATACACACCCTCTGTCTCATTTACATAATTGCGCAAAAAATGACTATATATACATATGCCTTACCATAAAGCCGTATTACTATGATTACCACTACTGTTATTATATGTGAGTATAGATCTGTCTGTGTGTGCTATCCCAGTGCAGTAATAATTGGTGCTGTCGTTTGTCTGCTTATGTCTTCAAACAGTCCTTTTCTTTGTTATTACCATTAGTCTCTGTCTAGTATTTATTCTCTTCATATCCCAGGCGATGATAATTGTTTTTCTTTAAATTTTAATCGATCCAATACAATTGATTTTTTCTTCTGTTTTTCTTCTTTCCGGTTGATCAATCTGCCAGTTAGTTTGTATGTATGTGTGAGTGCGTGTTTTTACCTTTGAAAACAGATATAAGGAAATTCAAACATTTGTATTCCAAATGTGGAACATAGGACCTCCAGCATTGAAGTCTCAGTAACTGCGGTGTCATTTTTGTATTTTTTTTAAGGGGTGAAGTTGCTTGCCTTATTCTTGTCTTCCTCCAATCTTCGCTGATTGATTACATTGTGATCACTGCTTGGGAGTTTTTGGCTCTGTTTCAATGCTCTGTCAGTCATGTGTGCAATATGTATTTGACCGGATATTGAAATAATGTGTTAGTATCAATGAGTTTGACTCTATAGATCTGTTTTCTTTCGGTGCTAATTTATGCTTGTAAACAAAGGGTGTATTTATTATTATTATTATTGTTCCCTTGGGTTCCTAGTGGAACATAGGGCTTCAACTGCACGCCTCCACTTGTTTCTGTCTTCTGTTGTACTTTTCACCTGCACCCATGTTAGTCCATACTGTTTCAGCTTCTCTTCACACGATCTCCTCCATTTCACCCTTGGACGTCCCACTCGCCGCTTCCCTTTCGGGTTCCACTCGAGCAATGGGCTGACGCGCGATGTCACCCAGCGGCCTCCTCAGCGAGTGTCCAATCCATCTCCACTTTCTCCTGCATATTTGTTGAGCGATTGGTTCTTGTTTTGTTTGTTCCCATAGTTTCTTGTTGGTGATTCTTTCCGGCCACCTGATCTTCAGTATAGAGCGAAGACAGCTGTTGATAAAGGTCTACAACAGGCTGTTGGAAATATTCTTTGTGACCCGCCAAGTTTCTGATCCGTATAGATGAACTGACTTGACGTTTGTGTTGAAACTCAAGGGGTGTATTCGCCGCCTCATAACTAACTTATGCACACCTAGAAGTCTGACACTTGACATCATCCCCTAGTGCTTCACAGCTAATCGTTATCCCCTACTTATGATGCTTAAAGAGTGAATTGTGTTGTTATACACGCTTTAGTCTTATAAAATGTTATTTCTATTCCTTTGAGTTTCAGGTGGGACATAGGGCTTGAATCAGTTTAAGGTTTCACTAGCAGCGGTGTGTAGAGTGAAGTTTCAAGTTAGACGATCAATCCTCACCAATATTTTAGTTGCTTATGATCAGCTAGGTGAGATTTGAGAATGAGTCTGCAGGAAATCAAACTCAGACCTCCTACTTCTTGGTTGGCAAACATTTTACCTGTTCACTCCTAATTAAGGGAAATAATAATGAGTGTAAGATCAATTCAATTCCCATCCTTGAATCAAGTCAACCTGTCTCGGATCAGCCTAGCGTTGTTGCAACCCAATTATCCATGCCTAACGTGTCTATCCCCCCTTGTTTAATGAACTGTGTGTGTTTTTACATCGATCCGTTTAGTCAGACAGTTGAACTCATGACCCGATCAGAGTATTTTTGTGAACTGTTATTTTGCTCACCCACGTCCTACTTTGTACTATTCTGTCGAGTTTATCTTATTTATTGATCTTCATCTGTATCAGCCTACCTGGTTAAGTAGCCAATTAAATTCTATCTTTGTGCCTATGCTCTGTCTATCTCTTACTTGGGTTCATTCTTCTACTGACTGCTTACCTGAACTGTCCTGTCTGATTCCGGCTAGTTCGCAATTTTGGCTTTAACGTTATTCCGCTCTGATAGCGGTACCTTGCTTTCTGTAAAGCGTTGTGCTTTGTACTCTTGAAACCGTTAAGGTTTGTTATATATTTAATTACTGATTTCTTTATTAATAGTACCACAGAAACAGTGACCGGCTTCTGGTTTGTTCTGGACCGGGATAGCCTTTATCTACGCGTGACTTAATTTCAAGCGATATTGCGCTTACAATGAGACTTTAGAAACTTATTATAATCATTAGAAGTTATCATTGAGATCATCCGTAACACTATTTTGAGATCAAATTTCTAAATTGATCAGTGATTTTAAATTTACTCAGTTTGATAAGGTGAAATTTTACCGTGATTTTCTTTGGGAACTGGAATTATTCAAATCACACTGCGTGTTCTGATTGGTACCACAGATGGTATTCAAGAACGCAAACATATTTAAATGAAACAATGTACTACTGGCTGATTGGGGTGAGTAGCTGTATACCACTTATATCAAGTAGTTGGCCATAAATCTGAGTCGAACTGAGTACACCACCGATGATCTTGATCCCGAATGGGCAAAACGGCCGTTTGTTGTGTAGATCACCTTGATCTGGCTAGCAAGTATTACCAGCTGATTTGAATGGCATGCAATTAATCATCTAAATCAATCAACGGTTTTTGGTTGTGCAAAATTTAGCTTGAAATGTTAGTAACTGAATTAATGGCGAAAACTAGGCCGCCTCAAACTAATTCACAGTTTTAATAATTTTCGCCCATAATTTTGAACTACTAACGAGTAGTGTGAGTAGGTGTTTCTGCATAAATAGACAAGGAACTGAAGTGTGTTGATTCTTAATAAAATTCAAACCTGGTTCCATTTCTGGATTGTATGCATCATCCTGGAAAGATTCACCTCAGCCTTGAAAAGCCTCTCGTAAGCTCTGACAACGGGGAAATTCGACAACTACCTCAAATTTTATAATGTGTAATCCCTCAACCCTCTATAACCTTCATTCAACAGCTCTGTAATGTTGGGTACCTCTAGACGCAGGATGAGAAACCTTATCGGTTCACATGTATACTCCAGAATTCGGAATATCTGTTCTATAGATACGGTTGACATAAAACTAGAAAATCTTTGCACTGTTAGAAGGTTTATTGTCAGAAACATCAAGAAAGAAACTATCCCCAATCAAACCACAGTTCCAAAGAAGACACTGTTTATGAGTTTGACGTTCTAAGGTGACAACAGCATTGCCGAATCAATTAAAATTTGTTTAACTAACTGTATTAAACGCTTTTTATGCAGCTGACTTGCATTTAGTATTTACCAGCGGAAATATGATTCGACAATGAGTCAATGATTAAACTACCACCATCTCTGTGTGCACCCATTCTTTCGCATGCTCGTGAGGAACTGATTACATTAGACGTTTTAAACGGGTTCTCCGGAAACGCATAGTTCAACACTATCCGATTCGGTTAATAAAAGGTGAGTATAAGACGACAAAGTCTTTTATTTGTAAATACAATCTGGAGTCAGTTCATTTAGCCCCATGTGATTTAAAGTTATCCACAGGACCAAATCCAACCACTTCAAAATCTTACGTTTTCTCTACTAATACATAGCCGAAGCTCTAGCTATCCAAGGACAGAAACCTAAATTATGTTTTTGAAAACGTTTTGTTTAACTCCTTTCTTTACCTTGGCCATTGTAATGTTCTTTTATGTTATTCTATTTTACCACGTGAATTCATTCCACTTCACTTCAGCTCCACCTTCTTTAATAATTTTTATCATTATCGTACTCTTAATATTTTAGGCAAAACTTGACCGACTATTTTTAAAATCTTAATACCGATTCACTCACTTGATAGTCTTTACAAAATTTCTAATTCATCCATTTCAACTTTATCCCCTTATACATCAAGGTAAATGTCTTTATTTTTATCAAATGTATATTGACTACTGAGCAGTTTTTAGTGCCACTTAATGCCACCTTCTTTTTCCGTTATATTAATACGACTGCACAGTTTGAGCGTGAATTTGCTGAACGGGGAAATATTTTTCCTTCGCTGAACAAAAACTGTGTTTTCCCCATATAATGTTGCCGCCAAATGCTAAGTGATTCACAGTGGAATGCTCGATGAAGACAGGAATAAGACAAGGTTGCCTACTGTCACAGATGATATTCCTGGTTGTAGTAAACTGGATTTATACAAAAGACCTTGGGGAGCAAGAAGATAGGCTCACATTGGACTGACGAGATGACTCTAGAAGATCTATACTTCGCAGATGATTTATGTTTGATTTTAAACAAACTCAAAGATCTCCCGGTGAAAATTAACAAGTTGGAGAAAGAGATGGGCAGCGAAGGCAGGATTTCAAGTGAACATAGAGAAGACAGAGGTGATGAAGGTACCTAATCTACAACAACAGCAAGCATAAAGTATTGTTATCATCGGGAAAAGCCTAAATGAAGTCAACTCTTCCACCTATATAAGCAGCATCGTTTTAACTGGTGCGTCGGTGGCTTTTTTTTTTTTTTTTTTTGATTTACAGCTTGATTCCACACCGTATTTTCAGTACAAGTATGGAATTTTCAGCATGGATATCGGTTGCCCAAATTCAGGCATACCATAGATATCGGGTGTGCGCCGGCAGGGGATCGAACCCCGGACCATGTGCATGGTCGGCGAGAGTCCTAACCACTATGCTTAGTTGTTGAACACTAGCCAACGATACTAGTTGTCCAGGGTTTGGTTCCCGGCCGACGCATACCTTTACCTTGCCTAGCTGGTGATAAGTCCGGTGAAGAGGGAGGGTTGGGTGTGGTGAGGCTAGCAACCCCATCCCTTAAAAATACCACTGCTACTGAAGCTTCTAAGCTCTAGCTTGAAGCCATATGCTGGACGATACTGAAGACTACAAGGCTAGTCAAAAAGTAACAAGAAACTATGACAGGCAGATAGCCAGCCAACAAATTTACGGAAAGAAACTGAGGTGGATTGAACATACACTGAGATCACCTTCTGGTATCAGGTTGTCGAGTGAAACTACTTGAATGGGCATCCAGAAGTTGAGTCAACTCTATCTCCCTTACACATCATGTTAGATATCACATTGACTACTGAGCAATTTTTAGTGCCGCTTAGTGCTACTTTCTTTTTCTGCTATATAAATACGGCTGTACAGCTTGAAAATGAAGTCGTTGAGTGGAGAAATATTTCTTCACACTGAACAAACTGTTTTTCCTCTATGAATATATATATATATATATATAAATATATAGTAGAAATATCCTAACTTTTGGACGCTTCAGGTTTTGTTTATTTATCTGTGTAGTCTGAATGCTTTCTTCTTTGTATGTCTACCACTTTCCCTCATCCCCAACATCACACAAACGCACACACACACACATACACGCACACTCCATTTTAGTTTAT